TGAAATAATAAGAAAATGGAAGAGTGATGGAATTACTTAGAGCAGAGGTTGGCACACTTAAAAAAAAATTTTGAGAAAGCGTGAGCAAGAGTGAGTGAGCATGAGCTGGGTGGAAGGGAGTTTGAAGGGGAAGGGTCAAAGAGAGGGAGAAGCACACTCCCTTGAAGAGTAATTGAAAAGACTTTACTTTATCTCAGTAGAGTTGACAGTCTGGGAGTATTTGTCAAAAATATTTACCTGCAAAAATACCTGTCATTGCTGCCTGATGCACTGACAACGAATGAGGCAAAAATAGGCTGACTACAAAGCTTGGGAGGAAAGGCTGGGAATAAAATACCTTGTGTTTTTTTTTTTTTTTTTTTTTTTTAAGATTATTTATTTATTTGAGAGGGGGAGAGAGAGTACATGAGCAGGGGGGAGGGGCAGAGGGAGAAGCAAACCCATCACTGAGCAGGGAGCCCAATGTGGGACTTGATCCCAGGACCCTGAGATCATGACTCGAGCTGAAGGCAGATGTCTAACCAACTGAGCCACCCAGGTACCCTGGCATAAGATACTTTGGGGAATAAGGGCTTTGAGTTCTTGGACCTGGAAATTTTTGGAAACCTCAAAGACAGTACACGGTTAGGGCTGTGCACATGCTCAGAAAAGAGCTAAAAAGGTTCTAAGTTTTCACTTCTGGTTAACTTTGGGGCTTACATAAGCAGGAAGTGAAGGCTAATGCAGAGTTGAAAAACTACCTGGCTAGTATTAAAGGGATGTCCCAAACATAGAACCCATCTGCAAAGACTGGGAGAATTTTTGGGTTCCACGCTTTTAAGGAAATACCTTTCTTTTTTTTTTTTTTTTTTTTTAATTATTTGTCAGAGAGAGAGAGAGGGAGAGAGAGCAAGCACAGGCAGACAGAATGGCAGGCAGAGGCAGAGGGAGAAGCAGGCCCCCCGATGAGCAAGGAGCCCGATGCGGGACTCGATCCCAGAACGCTGGGATCATGACCCGAGCTGAAGGCAGCTGCTTAACCAACTGAGCCACCCAGGCATCCCAAGGAAATACCTTTCTAATCACCAGCTGACCACTAAGCCAATAGAAATGTCACTCACTTGTTGCACATGACAAAAAATACAGACTTTGCAGTATTGGTTTAGAAGTTATTGAGGAAACAACAAATATTAACAATAAACCCTGAGGGGGGGGAACCTGATTTCTAGATTTGTTGAATTACAATATTCAGCATCCTGTTTTCAACAAAAAGGAAGTATGCAAAGAAATAAGAATATATGGCCCTTTCAGAGAAGAAATGAACAGAATCTGTCCCTAGGAAATGTTTAACATTGCATTTACTGAGAGTTAAAGGAAACCAGGAGAATAACATGCCATCAAATAGAAAATATTAATAGAGAAATTATAAAAAGGAACTAAATATAAGTGATAGAGCTGAAAAGTACAGTAGCAAATGGAGTTCACTACAGGTTTTCAATAGATTTGAGTAGGTTGATGAAAGAATCCGTGAACTTGAAGAACGTGAACTTTTCAACTTGAAAAGCTGAAAGCAAAAGAAGAAACATGAACAGTCTCTCAGACACCGTCAAGTATACCAACATATGCACATTAGCAGTCCCAGAAGGAGGAGAGAGATGGGGTGGAAAGAGTACTTGAAGAAAGTTTTCTGAAGCTTTCTGAATTTGATGAGAAACATTACACACTTAAGAATTTAAGTAAACTCCACGTAGGATAAACTCCATACCAAAACATATCATAAAGAGAAAATGGCAAGAGAAGCAACTCATCAAATGACAAGATTCTTAGTAAGATTAACAGCTGGTTTCCATTAACAGCGGAGTCCAAAAACAGTGGGATGGTATAAAGCACTGAAAGAAAAACAGTCAAGAATTCTTTTGAAAGTGTCCATCAGAAATGAAGAAGGGTTCGTGGGTGGCTCAGTCACTTAAACGTCTGATTCTTGATTTTGGCTCAGGTCATGATCTCAGGGTCATGAGATCCAGCCCTGCATTGAGCTCCATGCTTAGCTCGGAGTCTGCTTGAGGTTCTCTTTCCCTCTCTCTGCCCCTCCTGCCACGTGTGTGTGTGCTCTGTCTCTCTCAAATCTTAAAAAAAAAAATGAAGACATTGTCAGATGAACTGTGAAAATCATTACTCCAAGACTTAGCCTATAAGAGAGACTAAAGACAGCTCTTCAGACTGAAAAGAGAGGGTATGAGATAGTATTTGAATTCCCATGAAGGCAAAAGGAATACAGGTAAAGGTAACTAGTTAATCATAAAAATCAGTATTGTACATTTTGTTTATAACTCTTTCCCTCCCTATTTGATGTAAAAAACAACTTTGTAAAATGGAAACTGTAGGGTGCCTGGGTGGCTCAGTTGGTTAAGTGTCTGCCTTTGGCTCAAGTCATGATGCCAGGATCCTGGGATCAAGCCCGGCAATGGGCTCCCTGCTTGCGCAGTGGGGAGTCTGCTTCTCCCTCTGCTCCTCCCCCCATTCCTGCTCTCTCCCTCTCGCTCACTGGCTCTGCTCTCTCTCAAACAAAACCTTAAAAAATGGAAACTGTAAACCTATGTTTATGGGCATGCTATGTATAAAGAAATAATTTATGACAACACATAGGGAGAGAAATTACATAGCAAAGTTTTTGTCTACTACTGATACTAAGTTGGCATTAATCCAAACTAGGTTGTTATAATTAAGAAATTTATACTAATCCCTACTATAGCCATTAAGGGGAAAACAAAAAATCTATAGTAAAAGAAATGGTAGAATTAAAATGGTACACTAGCAAGTGTCTATTTAACACAAAACTAAATTCTCCAATTAAAAGGCAGAAACTTGCAGAATGGATAAAAAAACATAATCCAACTATTGATTGAGACACAAAATAGTTGAAAGTAAAGGATGGGGGGCACCTGGGTGGCTCAGTGGGTTAAGCCGCTGCCTTCGGCTCAGGTCATGATCTCAGGGTCCTGGGGATCGAGTCCCGCATCGGGCTCTCTGCCCAGTGGGGAGCCTGCTTCCTCCTCTCTCTCTCTGCCTGCCACTCTGCCTACTTGTGATCTCTGTCAAATAAATAAATAAATTCTTAAAAAAAAAAAAAAAGAAAAAGGATGGAAAAAGATACATACAAACAGTAACTAAAAGAGCTTGAGTGGATGGACTAAAGTCAGACTAAATAGATGTATGACAAAAATTATTATGTGCAATAAAGACATTATATAATGATAAAAGGGTCAATCTATCGGAAAGTTAATAACAGTTATAAACTTGTTTGCACCTACCAACAGAACCTCAAAATACATGAAGCAAAACTTGGCAGAATTGAAGGGAGAAAATAGTTGAACAATAATTGTTGGAAACTTCAATTCCCTACTTTCATTAATGGATAGAATGACTGGACAGAAGGTCATCAAGGAAATAGAAGACTTGAGGGGCACCTGGTGGCTCAGTTGTTAAGTTTCTGCCTTTGGCTCAGGTGATCCCTGGGTCCTGGGATTGAGCTCTGCCTAGGGCTCCCTGTCTGGCAGGGAGCCTGCTTTTCCCTCTCTCACTACCCCTGCTTGTGTTCCCTCTCTTGCTCTGTCTCTCTGTATCAGATAAATAAACACAATCTTTAAAAAAAAAAAAAAAAGAATAGAAGACTTGAACACTATAAACCACCCAGACCTAACAGACTTACATAGAACTTTCTACCCAACAACAGCAGAACACATTCTTCTCAAATGCACATGGAGCATTTTCTTGGATAGACCGTATGTTAGGTTACTGTAAAACAAGTCTCAGTATATTTAAAGACTGAAATCATACAAAGTATGTTCTCTAAACACAATGATAGAAGTAACAAATCTAGAAAATTCATAAATACATGGAAATATAAAATATAATAAAACCATTAATTTAAAAATACTAAAATTATTTTAAACCAGTCCTATTTAGTGACAGGTGTGTGTGTATTTTTAAATCACAGAAGAATAAATAGTTTTTATTCATATGCTTGAAAATTTAAGGAGAGTTTTGATATTTGTAAGGTGTATTCTAGTTATTAGGAATATGTGTTTTTGTTCTTCTGTATTTGGTTAAACATTTTATAGTCCTATGAAAACAGCAGATAACCAAAAATCTATTTTATAATTTTTTTTTTCCTTTAGACTAACTTTTCTGATAGTCTTATGTAGACTAAAGAAATTGGCTTCTATTTTCCCCATAGAAATTAGATGGCATTTACAGGCTCAGGTGTATACTTAATGACACACTGATTTTTATTTTATTTTATTTTTTTGGGGATTTATTTATTTGACAGAGATCACAAGTAGGCAGAGAGGTGGGCAGAGAGAGAAAGGGAAGCAGGCTCCCCGCTGAGCAGAGAGCCTGATGCGGGGCTCAATCCCAGGACCCTGGGATCATGACCTGAGCCGAAGGCAGAGGCTTTAACCCACGAGCCACCCAGGCGCCCCCACACTGATTTTTAAAGGGAAAAAGTTACTATTTTCTGTGATAAGCTTTTTTCTTGCCTGTTTGATAGCATCAGGTGTTATATGGGGTGATTCATGACATTTAGTAAAATATGACATGTCATTTATCAGTAATAGTAGTAATTTAAGATCTTTCTTCAGTGGAATAATGAGAAAATGCTAAAACTAGTTTAAAAAATCTTTAAAAATATCCTTTCTTTGGAGTTAGCTTTGAGAATTTTTAAATGTAATTAATGCTTATTTATTTTTCTTATTCTGTTACTTTCTGTTTCTACCTACATTAATTATAATATGTTTTTGAAAAGTAACAGCTGTTTTTCTGGTGGGGAAAATTTTAGTTTTCTTATTCTTTGTTAATGTGATAAAAACTAGCCTTTTACATTTTTTTGAAAAGAGACAAATGTTCATATAACAATTTTTTAGTGAATGTAGATCAGAGGTTTTCCACATACTTAACAAAGGAATTTTTATGGCTACAAGTTAAATTTGAAATTTGTGGTACATGTTAATTTTTTTCAGGAGAAGGAAGCCAACACCCTTTTGGAGCCATGAATATTGTCCGGACTCCATCTGTTGCTCAGATTGGAATTTCAGTGGAATTATTGGACAGTTTGGCTCAGCAGACTCCAGTAGGCAATGCTGCTGTATCCTCAGTTGACTCATTCACTCAGGTAACGCAGTACACATTATCTTCCAAAAAAGTTTTTAAACCAAATTCTATATATTTTTTTAAGATTTTTATTTATTTATTTGAGAGAGAGAGCATGAGCAGGGGGGAGGGGCAGGAAACAGGCTCCCCCTGAGCAGGGAGCCTGATAGAGGTCTAATCTCAGGACCCTGGGATCATGACCTGAGTTGAAGGTAAACACCTTACCAGCTGAGCCACCCAGGTGCCCTCCAAATTCTGTACTTTAAAAACTAACCTGGTGGTTGAAAACATGTAAAAAAGAAGGTAAACATGTATGGTGTAAGTTATTGGCTTCCATGGATAATTTAAGTTTGCCTGCTTTCTTCTATAGGTATTTTAAAATTTGTAAATGCTTTGATGAGACTTGTTTTTATGCTGGTGAAATAGCTCAAAGTGATTTAAAAATGGGATTAAATATTAGCTTTTTCTTATTCCCTCCCAGCTAGTATGCTAGGCTGTGGGTATACAGTTGTGAACCAGATAAGCAAGATCCTTGTCTTCATGGAGCTTAAAGTGACATAATTCCATGATGGTTGACTTTTAACCTCTTTAAGGCAAAGGCCTGAACAGGAGAATAATGGAGGTAGAGGTGTAGCTAATGCAGAGTCTCTAAGGTAGAAATCTGAAGAGTAATATGAAGGTCTTTGTGATTGGAGTCGAGTGAGCAAGGGTGAGAGATGGGAGATAATTGGGGAGGGGGCTGCAGGATAAAATCATATGGTACCTCATTGGCCTTTATAAGGATTCTGATTAATTTTTTAAAAAGATTTTATTTATTTACGAGAGAGAGAGAGCATGTACACATGAAAGCAGGAGGGAGGGGCAAAGGGAGAGAGACAAGCAGCCTTCCCACTAAGCAGGGAGCCAAATGCCGGGCTTGATCCCAGGACCCTGGGATCATGACCTGAGCCAAAGGCAGACATTTAACTGACTGAGTCACCCAGGGTCCCCTATAAGAACTTTGACTCAAATTCTGTTTGGAAGAGAAGAAATAAGAGTTTTGAGCAGAAGAGTAATGGGATCTAACTTCTATTTCTAAAGGATCACTTTCGCATTTTGGGTAGACACTGTTGTGGGAAGAAAGAAGTCAGTTAGGAGGCTCTTGTGAACATTAGATGACAGATGATGATGACTTGAACCAGGGAAGTTTGGGGAGGTGGAAGTGAAGGTAATTAAAAGTACTGGCATACCTCGTTTATTGCGCTTCACTTTATTGCGCGTTGCTGGTATTGTGTTTTTCACCTAATGAAGGTTTGTGGCAACCCTGCATGGAGCAGATCTGTTGGTGCCATTTTTCCAGCAGCATTTGCCCACTTTGTATCTCTTTGTCATGTTTTGGTAATTCTTGGAACATTTCAAACTCTTTCATTGTATTTGTAACGGTGATCTGTCATCAGTGATCTTTAGTACTATTGTAATTCTTTTGGGGCACCACAAACAGCCCATATAAGATGAAGAACTTAATCGATAAGTGTGTTTTCTGATTGCTTCACCTACCAACTGTTCTGCGTTTTTCTCCCTCTTCTTGGGCCTCCCTATTTCCTGAGACACAACAATATTGAAATTAGGCCAATTAATTATCCTACAATGGCCTTTAAGGGTTCAAGTAAAAGGAGGAGTCAATCCATGAGGCAAACTTCATTGTTGTCTTATTTTAAGAAATTGCCACAGCCACCCCAACCTTCAGAAACTACCACCCTGATCAGTCAGCAGCCATCAACATCAAGGCAAGATGCTCTACCAGCAAAAAGATTACGACTTGCTGAACGCTCAGATGATGTTTAGCATTTTTTAGCAATAAAGTATTTTTTAATGAAGGTATGTACATTTTTAAAGACATAATGCTATTTACACACCTAGTAGACTACAGTATAGTGTAAACAGAACTTTTATGTGCACTAGGAAACCAAAAAATTCATTTGACTCACTTTATTGCAGTGGTCTGGAACTGAACTGCAATATGTCTGAGGTATGCCTGTAATTGATTTCTGGAACTAATGTGAAGATGGAGCCAGTAGTGTTTCATGATGTGGATCACATGAAAGGTCTGAGATTAAAGAGAGACATCAATTATAGCCCAAGGATATTGGCTTGAGGAATTTGAACACAGGAATATTATGAAAAGAGCAAGTATGGGCTGGGAGTGGAATCAGGAGTTGGATTTTTGGTTGTACTATGGGATACCTGTTAGATATCCAGCTGGAGATGACAAGTGTAGAGTTCAAGAAAGAGTTCTGGGATATGGATAAAAATGTGAGAGTCATCAGTGTAATGATAATATCCAAAGTTTTGAAGGGTGTATGATTACTAGGGAAGTAATTAAATGGAAAAATTGGCTATTGACTGAGCTCTGGGGCCATTTCAAATTTGAGAAGCTGAAGAGATGAAGACAAAAAGAGCAGCCTGAAGTAGAAGGAGACCCAGAAAGTGATGTTTTGGAAGCCAAGCAAAGCCTGGTTTTTAAGAAGCAAGAAGCCTCAATAGTATCACACTGCTGATGAGTTAAGATGAGGGCTAAGAAGTATCCAGTGGACTCAGCAAGATGGAAGTCATTAAAAAATTAGAAAAGAGTTTAGAGAGTAGAAGGGGAGTTTGGAGTGAGTTGGAGAGGAGGAAGTGGGAACAGTGAATATAGATGACTCTTGATGAGTGTGGTTATAGAGGGTAGCAGATAAATGGTTTGGTTGCTTGAGGGGGCAGTGGGACAAGGATTTTTTTGTTTTTACTATTTTTTTTGTTTTTACTGTTTTTAATGGGAGATAATTACATCATGTTTGATGAGAATGAAGCATTAAAGCTGATGTTGCAGGAGAGTGGAGAGAGTTGCTGAACTCCTTGAATAGAAATGAGAGCACATTAGATTGGATAATGCATAGTATGCATAGTACGCATGGCTATATGAATACAGGTGCAGGAGGGTTGTTAAATGTGATGAGAACTTGTGCACGTTTTCTCTTGATACCTTCACTTTGCTCAGTGAAACCGGAAACAAGGTCATTAGCTAAGATTGAGGGGAAAGGAGTATTGGAAATTTAAAGAAAAGGATTATTAACCAAGTCCTCTAGGAGAGGAGAAGGGTGAATGGACTAGGGAACCCCTTATGAGTTTGCTGGGCCCCATACTCTTGAGGGTTGTGGCCATGAATTTAAAGTCAGACTTCTCACATGATTTCTTGAGAACAGGGTGAGTTAAGAATGACAGAGTCTGGGTCTTAATTCTTTTTTCTTCCCAGTAATTAAAAAAATAAACTGCTATGCTGAAAAAGCAAGTTGTAAAGCAGGAGTTAGTAGTATCCCATATAGACTGTGTTAGAAAAATGTCTGAAAAATGCATACCAAAGTGATGTTATCCCTGGAAACGGGCAAGGAGACTTTTTATTCTATATATATGTAAGATATTTGAGCTTTTAAAATCATACATATTTTTATGAAACATTTTATTATGAAATATTTTACATATGTAGGAAAGTACATTCCTCCAGTATTTATTGTATGCCTACTGCGTGCCAGGAATTTTCTAAGCATGAACAGATACAAATAGCTAGACAACATAATAGCTGTCCTTGTAGAGCTCGCTTTATAATGCAGTATATATGAAGACTTCTGAATGTCTTCTACCTAGATTTAATTGATATTTGCCATATTTGCTACTAATGAAAAAGAAAACAAAAGGTATTTCTGATACAGCTTGCTGGCATGTTTCTCTTCTTCCTAGTTCTTCCCCAGTTAGCTACTCTTCTAACCAAATTATCTTTGCCATCCTGTGTTAGTACTTTTAAAAGAAACATTCATAAGTATCCACAAAATATGTATGGCATTATTTGTTAAAACATGTTTCTAATATATACTCTTAGTTACTCTTATTACTTCATTTAGTTTTTACTAATAGTACATGTACATGGCTTAAAACATCAGATGGTTTTACATGCAGAACAGTTGTCCTGTTAATACTTCTTATATTCTGCTCTTACTCTGTTCCTCAAAAGCAGTCACCTTCAGCCTCTCCCACTTTTTTTTCTTTACCTATTTCTTCTTGTATTTACTTCCATGTTTCAGAAGAAACTTGCTTAATCTCTTTTCAACCAGTTTATTTGCTATAGGTGTTTTCCATCGACTTCCCCATACCTAATGTGATTTAGTGCTCTCACTCCTCTGCTTTCCAGAATTCAGAGTTGTCTTTTCTCCCTACCTTTTTTTTTAAAGGTATTATTTTTTTAAAAGATTTATTTATTTATTTTAGAGAGAGAATGATAGGGAGGGAGAGGGAAAAGAGAGACAGAATCTCAAGCAGGCCTAGGGCAGAGCCTGATAGGGAGCTCGGTGCCATGATCCCAAGGTCACAACCTGAGCTGAAACCGAGACTCGGACACCTGACTGACTGTGCCACCGAGGTGCCCCTAAAAGGTTTTATTTTTAAGTAATCTCTACACCCATTGTGATGCTTGAGCTCACAACCTGGAGTTGCATGATCTACTGACTGAGCCAGCCAGATGTCCCCACACCTTCTTATTATAGATTTTCACTAAATTAATATTTAGAGTTTTCAGTATTATGATCAGGTAAATATTTTTCAGAACTGAACCAGGTGTAGTACTATGGTTACATTTCCTTTCTAGAATGACTTTTTATTTTCCTTGGTTAATAAATGCTTCATTTTTTTCCTTTGTGTCGATTGCTATATCCACAATATAAATTCCTGTTCAGTATATTTTTAAAAAGCAATTTTAAATTTGTTTTGGAAACATCGCTCTTGAAACTCTTCTTTGTTCTTCTGTGGATTGATTATTTTCTGGGTCTTTTGCATAACTGTAGTCAAGGTATTCTTTTCTTTAACCATTATTGTAGAAATTCTTTTCATTTCTCTTCTCTGTTGCAGTCTTTTTTTTTCTTCTATTTTCCATTCTTGTTGACTTACTACCCCTTTGCATGTTTTTAAAATGATTATAAATGGTATACTGTACAGATTTCTACAACTTGGTATTGTTCACTCAGCATTATTTTTAAGACTTACCTGTCTTGATACATGGAATAAATCTAGTCTATTTTAATTGACTTGTATAGTTGTATAGTATGTCATTGTATGAATGAGACAGTTTTTTCATTTCCCTATTAATAGATATTCTCACTAATATTTAAGACCTTAAATTTTTGCCAAACTGCTGGGTGAAATTTGAATGTCACTGTTGTTTTGGTTTGTATTTCTTGGTGACTGGTGAAGTTGAGCATCTTTTCTCATCTTGACCTCATTTGTATTTTTTTTTTTAATTGGAATTGACCATTTATATATTTTGCCCAATTTTCTATTGTATTTTTTGACACTTCTTAATTTTAACTTTCTGGGAAGAGGCCTTTATGTATTCTGGGTAATAGTCTTCTGTTCTAGATGTTATAATTCTCCTAGCATGTTGCTTGTCTTTTAATGTTGTTTTTGATATCTTTTGCATGCAGACATTATATTTTTGTGTAGACAATCAGTTGTTTCTTTTATTATTATCATTATTATTATTTTTGCATTGGCTAAGTCGTTCCTATGTTATCCTAATGTGTGAAGGTGTTATGTTCTCATAGGTACTAAAGCTTTAATTGAAAGCTAGTCTTTTTTCTTTTTTAAACTCTGAGTTAATAGCATCTTTGTTATATATCATGTTGTCATATGTTTAGACTTGTTTCTGGTTTCTCTGTTCTATTCCAATTAGTTTGCCTGTCCCTTTGCCAGTAAAAGTCTTACTAATATCTGCTAGGCCTAAGTCCCTCCTCTTACTTATGAACATAAGCTTATGTATTCTGCATACTAATTTTAGTATCAGCTTACTGAGTTTTATGAAAAACTTTATTGGATTTTGTTGGAAATAACATTGGTCTTATAGTTGCTTTATTTTTTTTTTTAAAGATTTTATTTATGTATTTGACAGAGATCACAAGTAGGCAGAAAGGCAGGCAGAGAGAGGGGGAAAGCAGGCTCCCTGCTGAGCAGAGAGCCAGATGCAGGGCTCCATCTCAGGACCCTGGGCTCCATCCCAGGACCCTGGGATCATGACCTGAGCCGAAGACAGAGGCTTTAAGCCACCAAGCCACCCAGGCGCCCCGAGGTCTTAGAGGTTTAATTTGGGGAGAATTGCTTCCATTATGCATGTCTTCCCATCTGTGAACATGTATCTTTTCACTGAATGTGGTGTATAGATCCTTTAGTTTGTTTTCTTTCCTATCTCTCAAGACAGTCTTGAAATATTTTCCTAGGTATTTACAGATTTTGTTTTTATTCTGAGTTGGATCTTTTAAAAGATTTTTATTTATTTGTCAGAGAGAGCAAGAGCGCACAAACAGGGGAAACAGCAGGCAGAGGGAGAAGCAGGCTCTCTGCTGAGTAAGGAGCCTGATGCGGAGCTCAATCACAGGACCCTGGGATCATGACCTGAGCTTAGACACTCAGGTCACTAAACTGACTGAGCCACCCAGGTGTCCCTCTGAATTAAATCTTTTTTTTTTTTTTTTAAAGATTTTATTTATTTATTTGAGAGACAGACAGTGAGAGAGAGCATGAGCGAGGAGAAGGTCAGAGGGAGAAGCAGACTGCCCATGGAGCCGGGAGCCTGATGTGGGACTCGATCCTGGGACTCCAGGATCATGACCTGAGCCAAAGGCAGTCGTCCAACCAACTGAGCCACCCAGGCGACCCTGAATTAAATCTTTTAAATAAAAAGTTGCATTTTAAAATTTTGTTGTTACTGTTAAGGGTTGCTGTTGATTTTTGTTCTTTCTGATACTGATTTTTTAGTTAGTGATTTTACTGAACTCTGGATTTTAGTCCAAGTAACTTAAGCCTCCTGGATTAAACTGCCTTGATATTATTAAGCAAAAAGATAAAAGCTAATAAGGCATTTCCTCTCCTTGTATTTAGGCTTTTATCTTTCTGGCAAGAAAAAGACTTCTTACTATTTTATATGAGAAAGTAGGCTGGGATTTAAGGAGAGGGGCATAGTAGATGGTGAGGGAGAGAAAAAAGAGAGTATTTGAAGGAAAAACATTTTCTTCCTTCCCCCCCCCCAAATGAATATCTTAGGAAATTAAAATTTAAAAACCACAGAAATTCTTTGAGATATGAAGACAGTACTAAAGGCAGGTTGTTAAGATTTTATGCCACAGTGTTGTTTTATGACTTTCTTTAACTTACAGCATTAGACTGTTTAAAACTCACAGTACTTAAAACCAAGTACACTGCAGGAACATTTTAAATTAAAAATACTAAGGTGTAAGTGGAATATTCAATATAACTCATTAATCTATTCATTATTTACTTTCCAGTTCACACAAAAGATGTTGGACAACTTCTATAATTTTGCTTCATCATTTGCTGTCTCTCAGGCCCAGATGACACCAAGTCCATCTGAAATGTTCATTCCAGCAAATGTGGTTTTGAAATGGTATGGGACATTTTGTATCTCTAATATTAAGGCTTTTAGTAACCATGCATATTTTTTGCTGGTAAATGTATTTCTTTGACATTTAAACATACTCTTCTATTGTGAACATCAGCATACATTAACAGTGGCATGCCATTAAAAAGTATATTATGGAGTTCACATCAGGGAATGTTCTTACCCTAAATAGTCTTGTTATGTAGTAGCTATTTTGAATTTATAAAGACAAGAAAATACAACTGCCTATGTGTAGAGACCACAATTAAGGCTGTAAATTTTAAAATATTTTTATTTATTAGTAACCATATATGAGTCTTGAAATACAAAGCAATTTTTTGGTAAGTTTAGAAAGTCTTGGTCTGAAGTAAATATGCATAAGGCGTCAGGATGATTTTTACTGCACCCTGTACATAAATGGTTAGCTTTCCCATGATTCTGTTTTATAGGTATTCTTGTCACGTTGAATATCCCAGTGGTGGGCGATACATGAGAATTTGTTGAGCAGTGGTAGCATGGTGTAGCTTGGATAGCTCTGGAAGGTATTAGGTTTGAGCTTTGTTAAAATGTAGGTATGTGACCTTGAGCAAATTTCTCTCATCTACTCATCTATGAGATTAACTTTTTAGCTTTTTTATTTTTTATCTTAGCTTTTTAGAAGTGATACTTCGTTGTTTGCTTTTTGATAAGTCATTTGGTAGACTATGAAAGATAGAATTTTCTTGTAAAAATACGTTTTTTTCTTTTGTAGGTATGAAAACTTTCAAAGACGACTAGCACAGAACCCTCTCTTTTGGAAAACATAATTTGAATAAAATAATTTTTAATGGATTCTGAAATTTGTCATGTTTTGAAGAGAAATGCCTCCATTTAAAAGTACAAAGTCAAAAGGATCATGAAGCCAAAGTTTAAAAACTGCTTATTGACTGAAGCTTAATGAAAATCTTCATAAAAAATTAAAAACATGGAAAAATGAAAATATGTTCCTTATTAATGAGTTTTTCTCCCTTAAGCTTAAAATATTCAGAGGCAAAACACTTTGTTTTGGCTAGGATTCATTTTTTACTTAAAAATAAAGCATATTCACAATAATGTGCCAAATGCCATTGCATTCATAATATTTCGTTTAGTATTATAGTGGTTTGCTAGAGTAATTAACTTAAAATCAGCTATATCAAAATTTGGGGGACTTTTTGAAAAACATATCAAATATACATTTTTATGTACAGAAAGATTTTCAGTTTGTATTTCTTAAGATTACAAGTTTTTCCATTAACACAGGTTGGCTGTCAGTTTTATATCTGCAAATTCATACATAATTACTTGTTTGACAAAATTGCCATGGCTAAATACTGATGAGGTTTTATTTAATTCTGGTAATGTGGTAATGTTCTGAGGCATTTGTGTGTAGAATATAGGATTTAGTACATTTGCTTATTAAGTTGAAGCCATTGTGTCTCATTCAGAAGGGAGTCTTTGACTTATTTATACTAGTGACATTCATTGACCAAAAAAACCAAGTAAGCAAAGCTAGGCTCATTGGCTTGCTGCACCAAGAGAGTACAAATACCAGAGGAACTGTGGGGTATCATAAAGGAAGGGTACATATAGGAGTTTGGGGCCTCTGGTTAGTTTTAAAACATTTTGGCAAGGATTGGTGAAAATTTGGAAATTAGAGAGTTGCTGGTGCAGTTAATATCATTAAAACACATGAGCCTATGCAGAATATCATTACATCAATTTATGGTTTTATCTTGAAACAAATCTGATTGAGCTAGCATTAAGAGTTTGAGCTTAGGCAATTTGTTGTGTTGTCAAAGTTTGGTAGACTTTGGCATTTTGCAAGCTGTATGTTTTTGCAAATTGTAGTTTCTTTTTCACTTCTCAATTCTCTTCTGGTCTTTCTTCAGTCTGTGTTGAAGGATTGACCATTATTTTTTGGAGTTGTGGTCAAGCCAGGTTAGTATTGCTCTTCACTGGGTTATAATTATATATCAAGTATCCAGTGGTAGTTCTAACATAGTCTTAGGTCTTCATGTTAGTAATTGTTGACTGTTGTTGAATCATGTGACTTGACAGTGGCTATACAACAGGATTTAAGGCTCAGAACAGAAAGCATCTACCAACTGTAATAAAATTTTCAAGCAAAATGAGTATTCAACTAGAATGCAACACCAGGAGCCTAGGTTACAAAACCCAAGCTACAAAAACATATCCCAAAGTCCAGGTGAGTCTATTCTCTAGAGTCCGTGAAAGACTTTAGCTTGGTCAAAGACTATTGTACCCGTCAAGTGATTTTTATAGACCTTTATATATAATATAATAAATGTGAACTGCCCTTTGGCTTGCCAAGAGGAAATAGAAGACTGTGTCATTGCCATGACAGTCCTGGGTAGTGAATTTAAACTGGTTTGTTGGGCTTACACAGCATGCGTCAAAATTTGAACCACCTTTTCTAGTTGTATTCAAGAATTAACACTTTTGAGAATTCTCCTGTGTATGTAGCCAATTCCTGCTTCGTTTGGAAGTCTCTGGTTATCCTTCCCAAGGAAACATGCTACCGGGAATAGAAACGGGCTTTAAATATCTGAAAGCTTCTTAACAATTACTCTGTGCGCAAGATAGGTTTGGGTTTAGGAGGCAGGCAAAAGCCTGAAGTAGACCTAAGTAATCCCTGGTGAGTTACAGGTAATGCTAGGAATATAAATGATACTACGACCGAAGTGAGCCAGCACTTGTTTCCTTGAGCTGAGCACATTGCCGGTGGAGTTTAGTTCCGGCCTAGAAGTTTGGGAGACCTTTGGAGAAAATGACTAGTGCAGTGAGAATAGCTCTGGCATTCGTTCTCTTCCCTGGTGAATCTGGTTCTGGTGACAATGCTGTTATGATTATAGTAGAAGCATTTTGTTGACTTGGAGAAAACTTTTCAGTTTTTACACGAATGAAGGCTGGGGCTACTGATGAAGAGGAAAATTCAAATATCAGAAGAGATATTTAGGAGGAAATTGATCTCAGGAGTTTAAAGGGATAGATAATTACATCTTTTATAGTGGAATTTGACAGTTTCAAAGGGTAGCTGTGGTCTGAGAAAATGGAAAAGTTTTGCATTTCTTAAGGTGACCAAAAAAGACCATACAGGATTAAGAATAAAATCTTTTAATGATACAGATATGTAAGAACATACTGAGAAACCTTTAGGGTTATCTCTAGGAGGTGCCACGCTATAATAAACAAAAACGGGGTAAAGAGCAAAGGTATCAGAAAATTAATCATGGGGGCGCCTGGGTGGCTCAGTGGGTTAAGCTGCTGCCTTCGGCTCAGGTCATGATCTCAGGGTCCTGGGATTGAGCCCCATATCGGGCTCTTTGCTCAGCAGGGAGCCTGCTTCTCTCTCTCTCTCTCTCTCTGCCTGCCTCTCTGCCTACCTGTGATCTTTCTCTGTCAAATAAATAAAAAATCTTTAAAAAAAAATTAATCATGTCTTTGGCCTTGGGCAGAGGCAGTTCATTTTCTGTTGTTATCCGCTGGACCTGTGGGTTTGATTAGCTTCAAAGATAATGGCTTCTGTAAGGAGGACACTTATGAGCACTGAGTCTTATCTGTAAGTGATGAATCACTAAATTCTGCTCCTGAAACCAATTTTACACTCTATGTTAACTAACTGGAATTTAAATAAAAATTTGGAAGAAAAAAAAGATAATGGCTTCTGGAGAATCCCTGAGAATCACTGGCTGAAAGTCTCCTGACAAGAGTGGTGGTCCAGCTGTTTGGAGAAGATATTTGTCATTTAGTTGGGAAACATGAATCCAGGAGTCATTGTCTTGGACTTTCACTGCCATGCTAGTTACAGTATCTGATAAGCTTATTTTTCATTGAAGGCAATTTTCATTTCTCTGATGTCTCTTCCAGAAGACTATATTTGCCAAAGATTGAGGATGTTACCAACATTGATGTTTTTGTAGAGGAGGAGAGTTGAATTCACTGTTGAGGTATAGCACAATTGTAAGATTATTATAAATTATTATTAGATGACAAAGGTATTGTGGACAGTGACAGTTTTCTAGGTCTGTAATTTATCCCATAACGTATATATTTTTTGGAGACAGTTATTGTATTAGTCTTTATGTAAGCAGAGTGTATTTCTTTTTACCTGAAATGTACACAGTCATTTGCTATGGTCTGAATGTGTATGTTCTTGCAAAATTTATATGTTGAAATCCTAATGCCCAGTGTGATGGTATTCGGGCCTTTGTCAAGTGCTTAGGTCATGAGATTAATGCCCTTATAAGAGAGATCCCAAAGAGCTCCTATGCCCCATCCACTGTGTGAGGATATGTAGAAAAGTCTGTGACCTGCAAGAGGGCCTTCATCTGACCACACTGAGCACTTGATCTTGGGCTTCCAGCCTCCAGAACTGTGAAAAACAAATTTTTGTTGATAATAAGCTACCTAAACTCTGGTATTTTGTTATAGCAGCTTGAATGGAATAAGAAACATTGAAACATTTTTATTAACACGTTTTACTTATGCATAATTTAATCTAGGCAGGCTGAACTTTTGATTTTCCAAGTTTTTTTTCTTTTTGATTTTTAAAAGCTCCTAACAATAGTTTTGAATTAATTAAAATTTGGAGAATGTAAAATAAACTTAATTTTTCCTATTCTTCTGTAAAGTGAAGGAAACCCAAAGATTTCAGACAAAAAGGACATCTTAACAATCTTATTATGCCTCAATTTGGGAAGGGCAAAATCATAAAGAGATGTCAGAGGAGACAAGATATGAACATGAATCAAAAATATCCAAAGGCAAGAAATAATCTCAGCCAATATCTATATTCAGTATACTAGGAAAAAGTAACACCGTTTACCATCTGTGCCCCATGGATCTGTTTTTTTAAAATGCTTCTAAGTCACTTGAACAAGTAAAAGGATGGTAAACAACTTAATCAGAATTTTAAGTAATGAGAAAGCAAACCGTGTTTCGTATTTTCATAGATTTGATGACATGTACTTAATGAGAGCATTGTCTTCTAAATGTAATTATCAGTTGTCATGTATGAATCTGGAACGTGTCCATCTTGTAAATGTTGATTTTAGATTTCAAATGCCTCTACTAAAGGGTCTACTTTAACATTACTTTCTGGTTCTTGTACTTAAATCTGCAAAACGCAAATACTTGAAGAATTATTTGAAAACTGACAGCAGATGATTTTGTTGAAAAGAGAGTGGCTGTCTTCTTAGCTCCATAGTTGTAAGACATTTTCATTTTTAGATTTATAGCTACGTGTTAGAATGATAAAATAATTTTTCATTCTCTGTCTTCTATTTCTGTACTTTTGTGGACACATCTACTTTCAGCATTTGCCTATTTTAAAAAAGCTTTATTGAGATATAATTCATGTACCATCAGATTCACTCAAAGTATGCAATTCAGTGTTTTATAGTATATTCACATATTTGTGCAACCACCATCAATCTAATTTTAGAACATTTTCAATTTCCTTAGAAGTTCCATACCCATCAGTAGATACATCCATGTTATAGTATGTCAGTATTTATTTCCTTTATATTGCTGATGTTACTCCACTGTATGAATATACACATATAATCCATATGTCAATTGATGGACATTCCCTACCATGTCCCCCTCCCTTCCACTTTTTGGCTATGAACAGTGCTGCTATGAACATTGATCTACCAAGTTTTTTTCCTTTTCTAAGATTTTATTTATTCAAGAGAGAGAGCAAGCACACAGAGTGGGCAGCAGCAGAGGGAGAAGCAGGCTTCCCACTGAGCAGAGAGCCTGAGATGAGGCTGGATCCCAGGACCCTG